CATGCTGATGTTAGTTATGCTGACGAGAAACATGCCGGTGATGTTTCACTTTTAGTAGTAGTAGTAGTAGTAGTAGTAGTAGCAGCAGCAGCAGCAGCAGTAGTAGCAGTAGTAGTCGTAGTAGTAGCAGCAGCAGCAGCAGCTTCACCTTCCGCAACTGGGACCCACGAAGGTGCCGAGGACGCGACGCAGTCTGCTAAGTCAGACGATAGGTCCAAGCATAGCTTAGCCTATGACCTAAGGTGGAATGACCGCGGCATTGCCATGCATTGCCATTGTAGGGATGTTGACTGCCCTGCTCTTTCTTCCATCCATACCGGTTGAGACCAGCATAGACCAGCCATCGCCGATCGAATCCCTGATCATGGAGGCCACAGAGGCATGTAGAGGCAGAGCCTTTTCGTCCAGGCCACTTCCCGCGATGTGGACTCTGAATGTAGCTATCCTTGGCTTCTTGCACCTTGGTGTGGCCTTAGGCAACAAGCCCCTCGGCAGGGAGCGAGAACCAACCTTTAGAGTGTTTTGGGGGGACGAAAACCTGTCTTGGCGTCTTTGATTCTTTTTCCAAGGCTATGGACGACGAACCTTCGGCAAATGGCTTTTGCCACTTCGGGCTCTCGGCTGCCTCTGGGCAACCTGACGCTGCAGCTGAAGGCCGCAGCTCGTCGCTATTCGTTGTTTAAAGCGTAAAGCGCATCACAGCGTTCGCATTTGTGGCGCAGATGCTCGGGTTGGGATGACTGTTTCGCCTTAGATCGAACTCCAAGGAATCCTTCGTCAATTCTAGCACCGATGTTGGCGAGATCGGTGGCATACGGTTGATGACAGCTCGTGGGGTCTGCCCGAGCCTCAAGTGCGGTGTAGGGATAGACTCCACTTCCCGCATGTGGAAGTGCGGGGCTTCTGCAACGGTTCTTCAGGCTTCTCTCTCTCTCTCTCTCTCTCTCTCTCTCTCTCTCTCTCTCTGTCTGTCTGTCTGTCTGTCTTCTCAGGGTTTAGGGGAGGATAGCTCGGGGCGGCTTCTCAAAGTAGCATGTCAGACCGTGTCGAGTCGAATGAATGATTCTTTAGCACTGCCCGCTTACTGTCAGGAAGTACTATTGATACAGTACGAGTTTGTCACAGAGATGATGGGCAGAAATTCCGCGTTAGATGCCAAGGCATCAGCTGCACCACACCCTTGAGATGTTCGTCACTCGATGAGCCAGTGAAGGTCCGGCCATGTTGCTATCCGAATGACAGGTTGAGGCCTGTGGTGCAGGATACGAAAATCGCTTCTGGCGCTTTGCAGGGGATGAGCGTGGCGAAAGCTTGCAACCCGCAGCCCAAGCCGGGCGACATGTTTAGCACTGTGCTCAGTTCCCTAAACACTAAATGCTTATCTGTGCCGCCCTGGCCTCCTTTGAAGCGAAAGATGTGCCAAGGCTGGAAAGTCGACCAAACATCCGGCTATGACATTCGGATTCTTGGGCAATTGGCCTTTGAGGGCTTAGGGTGTTGGATCGGACTGTTGAGCATCTGCACAAGTCGGCTAGCTGGATGTGCCCTCTGGCTTAGGGTGGACTTTCCATTGGAGAAGCTCAATGGCCAACTGGACTTCGTCGTGGAGATCCTCTCCGCATTGGACCTTTCAGGCCGTTCCTCCAATGCCGTGGGTGCAGCTGCCTTGATGTGCATCCACCGCAGGAGCCAACAACGAGCTGAAGAAGGGTCGGCAGGTGACGAATTGGATCACAACTTTGACTATCGGAACACAGGATCATGCAGCCTGGATGAAGGTTGTCGGAGCCTGAGGAGATTCTGAGGTTCGTTTCCAAATCAGAAGCATCAAGGTCAAAGTGTCGTCACTTGCCGCTGAGCCTGCGAGCCCCACTCACATCCCCAGACACTTGCACCCCAGAGCCTAATTCAGGGTTTTGTCAACTAGCAGACATCACAGCATCGGTCCAGGCGGTGAACATGAACGGCGACTTCAAGAAGGTCGTAGTGGGACGGCAAGCTGCTGAGTTTGCGGCCTCGGCGAAGGTGCGCAGAGGGGAAGTTGTGAGTGCGCGAACCAGGGACACCAGCCAGGGCGTTTTCCCACCTGGGGTTGGAGGTTTGGCTTCGGGCCTGAATTAGGGTTCGTGGTTTGGTTTCGGGTTCGGGGCATACAGTTGGTTCTGAGTACTAGGATTCAGGGTTTGATGGTGCCTGGGATTTAGGGATTGGCTTTGGGTCTGGGTTCACGGTTTCGGGTTTCGATCTTACGCTTTGAGCCGGCGGCTTTAGGAATGCTTTAGGATTTCGGCCGTGGTCGGGTTTAGAGTAGCTTCCGGGCTACGGGTTCTAGGGCTTGCTTCAACTTGCTTCAGGTTTCGGGTTCAGGGCATGCGATATGGAGGGTTTAGGCCGGAGGTTTTAGGCTTCAGGGCTACGCGTTTTTTTTTTGCAGTGCATATAATATGCATACATTTCTCATGTGAATCAGCCCTCCGGTGCAGACTTCTGCGTGACCTTTGCCTGGAACCGGCTGTCATTTCGGCCCATAGGGGCCCCTTGAAGCAAAGCTGCTTTGTCAAAGCCGAGAGAAAAGTGAGCTTTTACGCGATCGTTTTGCACACCGTTGAAGGAGGCACCGCGGTGCGGCCGGGTGAAGATTTACTTGCGGGTGACGGCGGCCAATCTGGCCACGAGCTGGAAGCAAGGATCACGACCTGGCTGGCCAGTGACGTTTCGAAGGACAATGTGGTCGCCAAATTCAGGAAGTTGAGCGAGTCCACCACGACGGGTCTAAGAAGGTTTTCCTCAAGGCGAGTGGCCCGAGAATCCGGACGAGCCCGAGCACTGCTACTACGAGGAGAACGAAGAGGACGCGGGCGACCACTACATGTACCTGAACTATGGCGACTTAGACGATCTGATGGAAGAGGAGGAGGTCATGGACGCCCTTTCTACTTACCAACAGGTTCGTCAACACCTTCGCGATACCCGCCTCGGTCGCAAAATTTCATAGGCAACCGCCGCTTGGAGATGGAGGCAAAGGGGGCGGGAAGTTTGGACGGCCAGCTGGTGGCAAGCCATTCGGTCTGTCTTCGGAGGCCAGGCATGTGCACATAGAACAGCTCAAGTTGAGGACGAGATGCAGGGCTTGCGGCCAATTGGGACACTGGCCGAAAGAGTGCAGGAACGTGCCACAGCATAGCCCAGCGAGCCAGCCCAGCGCTTCATCGACGAGCTCAGGTACCAGCTTCTATTGGTCAGGCGATTCGCCCAAGAGAGGCAATGCCCCTGGAGACGGAGCAAGCTTCTTTACCATTTGCGAAACAAGTGCGAGCTGAAGCCGGCTGCAGAGAGCATGTTCATAGGAGTCACCAGGCTTTGGTAGACACGTGTGCCCGAAAAGGTTTTCTTGGCAAGTCAGCTCTTCTGTGATGCGCTCCGCGCTCGAGGCCTTCGCTGTCTGTGGTTGGAGAAGCCAGCGGCAGCCCGGAGGATCGCAGGTTCCGCCAAGACCGTTGGGGTGGTCAGGGTTAGGGGGAAGGAGTGGGGTCCTCGAGGCCACCGTGGTCGCGAAAGACTTGCCGTTGCTTCTTCCGTGTCTCTCTTGAGGTCTTTGAGTGCGGTGCTGGATTTTCCGCGGAGGGCACATTTTCGCTGACCGCCGCCCCAATGGACTGGCCCATGTCAGTGCTTCACGGAAGTGGGCAGCATGCTCACTGATCTGGTGGAAGTCGGCAAATTTGCGGAAGAAGGTCGGCTCCACCTTGGCGGCCGAGACCCAGTCGCTTTTGACGGGGCTGGGGGAATTGATATGGGCGAAGGCGATCCACGCTCACGCTGAAATTGCTGAAGCGATGGACCCCGAGTTTTCCGTGGAGACGTTCCGAGAAGGAGCTCAAGCCCAAGCTGACATAGTGCTACAACTGCCGATGCAAACCCTAAGCTTGAGACCTCCCTGTCGGTGAACGATGCGAAGAGCATCTACGATAACCCTATGAAGGAGGGCGCCCCCGGGACAAGTTTACGGCCCTGGATGTTGCGATCGCCCGGGAGAAGATCGATGGCTTAGGAGTGCAAGTTCGTTGGGTCAAGCACCAGCATGCCGGTGGACAGCCTTACGAAGATCGGCGCCGGCAGGGATGCAAGGCTAGACTAGACCTCGTACAGTCGGAAACGTTGCGGCTGGAGCTGAAACCGAACTCATAGAAGATCGTTTTATCCGTCGGCTGACCGGTACCGTGAAGCCCAGTTGACAAAGATCAACAAAATTTTAAGGGTGTTGTGAATCAACCGTATTGTTGCAGACCGCAGCTTGACCTTTGCTTGGAACCGGCTGGCATTTCGGCCCATAGGGCCCCTTGAAGCTAAAACTACTTTGTCCAAGCCGAAACAAAACTGAGCAAATGCGCGATCGTTTTGCGCTCCGCTGTTGTCATATTATATACGTGCTCATACACATACGCGCATATACGAGACACGTCAATCTAGGTGTTCGTAAGGCCGACCCGACCCGATTCGGGCATTCCCGCGATCCGCCGACCACATGCTAGGATTCGGCCACCCCGTATGACTTTGCATGAACCAGAAGCACTGGTTCTTTCCCGACAGCCGTTGAAGTCGTCAGGACATCTATGCTGGCGCCGAGACCTCAGCGGCCTGCAGTCTGGCATCGGCGCAGAGGCTTGCAGTCCGCAAGCTGAGGAATGCCTGAGGCCAAACGACATCAGCGGTTATCATGCAGCCTGGATGAGGAAGTTGACTTGCAGTCCAAAAGTCTTGTTTTCAACTCCGAAGAGTGGTCTGAGTGGATCATAGTGAATTTCCATGTGTGTTTAGACGTGTTTTGAAACCAACCGAACCCTGGCACAGTTCCTAGATTCTTAGACATTTGGGATTGAAGGTCCCGCGGCAGTCCGATCCCGCCAGCTTCCTTGAATCGTGAATCTTCCGTCTTAGGCTCTCATCCGTCTTAGGCTATCAGACCTTGAGAAGTGTTCAGGTGACAGAGCTCAGCATGGCGCGGACGCAGCTCAACGTTTTGGCCCAGTGCGCTGCCAAATACAAAGGTGCCCAGTGTCGACTTCGGGTCCGACAGCGATGTTGGAATAGGGTTTGAGTTCACCCCTTGAGGCCGGACGGGCCATGTTTGATGAAGTCGCGTTCCCGGCTAGGTGCCGCAAAGGTGTCGGGCTGCCAGTCTCATGGCGACCCGTACGCGCTGTGGCTGGCTTAGATCTGAATCCCACCAGACGCAGCCAATCCGGTTGCCTTGTGTGCTGCTGTTGCAGGTCCGGCTGCGAAGCGGAAGTGTGCGTTGCACCTAGCACCCTCACCGGCTATGTGGTCAAATCTGTGGACTTGAAGCGGCCCTCCTTCACAGCGAATGTTCTGTGCGACAATGATAACGGTTGCTTGGGAGTCCGGCGTGCTTTTTTTTGACCGTGGATAGGAGAAGAACAGCATGCACAGTGAAGCGCTTTTCTTGATGCATTGATGAGTGTTCACGCCGGCAGGCTACCATGGCACGGCTATTGCGGAGGTGTGTTCTGCTAACGGTCACGAGTACACTCTCGGGGGCTGTGGCACTACAACCTCAACCAGCACAACAACAACGACCTCGACAACGACATCAACCACCACCACAGCAGCATGATTGCAGTTTGTCCATTCTGTACGATGGTCAAGGGGAGGCGCAGGTGCAAGAGACCTTGATTGTGGGAAGGAAATTCACGAAGCAGTCAGCAATGTTCTTGTACCACGGATGTGTGCGAATCATGATGAAGTGCAGGCGTGTGTGTGTGTGTGTGAGTGAGTGAGTGAGTGAGTGAGTGAGTGTGTGTGTCTCTGTCTGTGTCTGTGTGTGTGTGCATGTGTCTCTGCGTGCGTGCGTGTGTGTGTGT